CCTTCTGAAACCCTAGAAAAACAATAGTTTTGGACAAGGTTTTATGGTTTTCGACCAATTTTTATACCACTGTTTGTACAATGAGACATACAAACCCTCCTGTTGCTCCTGTTGCTGCTGCTGCTCTTCCTCCCGAGGCTGAAAATGCACCCTCCCGGACAGGGAAAGAGGCTGAAAACGCACCCTCCCGGACAGGGAAACACAGTGGCCCTAAAGGACGGAACAGCGCCAAAATCGAGCCCAAAAAGTCCCTAACGTCCCTTCTGAAACCCTAGAAAAACAATAGTTTTGGACAAGGTTTTATGGTTTTCGACCATTTTTTTTATTTTTTTTAAATACCACTGTTTGTACAATGAGACATACAACCCTCCTGGTTGCTCCTGTTAGCTGGCTGTCTCTTGCCTTCCCCCAGGCTTAAAAACGCCATCCTCAGTACAGGGTAAACACGTGCCCTGAAGGACGGAACACTCGCCACAATCGAGCCCAAAAACTCCCTAACGTCCCTTCTGAAACCCTAGAAAAACAATAGTTTTGGACAAGGTTTTATGGATTTCGACCAATTTTTATACCACTGTTTCTACAATGAGACATAGAACCCTCCTGTTGCTCCTGTTGCTGCTGCTGCTCTTCCTCCCGACGCTGAAAACGCACCCTCCCGGACAGGGAAACACAGTGGCCCTGAAGGACGGAACAGCGCCAAAATCGAGCCCAAAAAGTCCCTAACGTCCCTTCTGAAACCCTAGAAAAACAATAGTTTTGGACAAGGTTTTATGGTTTTCGACCAATTTTAATACCACTGTTTGTACAATGAGACATACAACCCTCTTCCTCCCGAGGCTGAAAACGCATCCTCCCGGACAGGGAAACACAGTGGCCCTGAAGGACGGAACAGCGCCAAAATCGAGCCCAAAAAGTCCCTAACGTCCCTTCTGAAACCCTAGAAAAACAATAGTTTTGGACAAGGTTTTTTAGTTTTCGACCAATTTTTATACCACTGTTTGTACAATGAGACATACAACCCTCCTGTTGCTGCTGCTGCTGCTCTTCCTCCCGAGGCTGAAAATGCACCCTCCCGGACAGGGAAACACAGTGGCCCTGAAGGACGGAACAGCGCCAAAATCGAGCCCAAAAAGTCCCTAACGTCCCTTCTGAAACCCTGGACAAGGTTTTATGGTTTTCGACAAATTTTTATACCACTGTTTGTACAATGAGACATACAACCCTCCTGTTTTGGACAAGGTTGTATGGTTTTCGACCAATTTTTTTTTATTTTTTTTAAATACCACTGTTTGTACAATGAGACATACAACCCTCCCGTTGCTCCTGTTGCTGCTGCTGCTCTTCCTCCCGAGGCTGAAAACGCACCCTCCCGGACAGGGAAACACAGTGGCCCTGAAGGACGGAACAGCGCCAAAATCGAGCCCAAAAACTGCCTAACGTCCCTTCTGAAACCCTAGAAAAACAATAACACAATAGTTTTCGACCATTTTTTGTACCGCTGTTTGTACAATGAGACATAGTGAGACATAGAACCCTCCTGCTGCTCCTGTTGCTGCTGCTGCTCTTCCTCCCGAGGCTGAAAACGCACCCTCCCGGACGGGGAAACACAGTGTCCCTGAAGGACGGACCAGCGCCAAATCGAGCCCAAAAAGTGCCTAACGTGCCTTCTGAAACCCTAGAAAAACAATAGTTTTGGACAAGGTTTTATAGTTTTCGACCAATTTTTATACCACTGTTTGTACAGTGAGACATAGAACCCTCCTGTTGCTCCTGCTGCTGCTCTTCCTCCCGAGGCTGAAAACGCACCCTCCCGGACGGGGAAACACAGTGGCCCTGAAGGACGGAACAGCGCCAAAATCGAGCCCAAAAAGTGCCTAACGTCCCTTCTGAAACCCTAGAAAAACAATAGTCTTGGACAAGTTTTTATAGTTTTCGACCAATTTTTATACCACTGTTTGTACAATGAGACATAGAACCCTCCTGTTGCTCCTGTTGCTGCTGCTGCTCTTCCTCCCGAGGCTGAAAACGCACCCTCCCGGACAGGGAAACACAGTGGCCCTGAAGGACGGAACCGCGCCAAAATCGACCCCAAAAACTGCCTAACGTCCCTTCTGAAACCCTAGAAAAACAATAGTTTTGGACAAGGTTTTATGGTTTTCGACCAATTTTTTATACCACTGTTTGTACAATGAGACATACAACCCTCATGTTGCTCCTGTTGCTGCTGCTGCTCTTCCTCCCGAGGCTGAAAACGCATCCTCCCGGACAGGGAAACACAGTGGCCCTGAAGGACGGAACAGCGCCAAAATCGAGCCCAAAAAGTCCCTAACGTCCCTTCTGAAACCTTAGAAAAACAATAGTTTTGGACAAGGTTGTATGGTTTTCGACCAATTTTTTTTATATTTTTTTAAATACCACTGTTTGTACAATGAGACATACAACCCTCCTGTTGCTCCTGTTGCTGCTGCTGCTCTTCCTCCCGAGGCTGAAAACGCACCCTCCCGGACAGGGAAACACAGTGGCCCTAAAGGACGGAACAGCGCCAAAATCGAGCCCAAAAAGTCCCTAACGTCCCTTCTGAAACCCTAGAAAAACAATAGTTTTGGACAAGGTTTTATGGTTTTCGACCAATTTTTATACCACTGTTTGTACAATGAGACATACAACCCTCCTGTTTTGGACAAGGTTGTATGGTTTTCGACCAATTTTTTTTTATTTTTTTTAAATACCACTGTTTGTACAATGAGACATACAACCCTCCCGTTGCTCCTGTTGCTGCTGCTGCTCTTCCTCCCGAGGCTGAAAACGCACCCTCCCGGACAGGGAAACACAGTGGCCCTGAAGGACGGAACAGCGCCAAAATCGAGCCCAAAAAGTCCCTAACGTCCCTTCTGAAACCCTAGAAAAACAATAGTTTTGAACAAGGTTTTATGGTTTTCGACCAATTTTTATACCACTGTTTGTACAATGAGACATACAACCCTCCTGTTGCTGCTCCTGCTCCTGTGACTCCTTCTGTTCAAAAGGCACCTGCCGGATGGGAAAACACCATGGCAGTAGTAGTAGTAGTAGTAGTAGTCGTCCGAAACAAGAGTCAAAAGTATTATTCCCTGGCACGCTCCCCCTTGCGTCTGCCGGGGTCGGCGGATATTGACTGCTGGCTACTGGCTGGGTGCTGCTGTCTTATTCCCTAACGCGCTCCCCCTTGCGCAGCCGGGGTCGGCGGATTCTAGGTGATAAACAGTAAACACAACAAAACATGGGAACATTGCCTATATACGAAATAAACACGAATATAGGGGTACCGGGAAGACAGACTGTTGAAGGGTATTTCAATCGTTCATGTGTCGTATCCAAAATTGGCCATGAGACGCCATGGCTCATGCCGTGGGAATTCCAAAGATGCAGCCAGCAACCTTGCTGGCCGACCTCACAAAACACACCATGGGTAGTTTGGGTGAATCATCCAGTCTACACTTAAAAACCTGTATAACCCTTTACAAGTTATAGATGGTTATAAATAGGGTTATCGAATGAGGTGATTTACCGACTTGGTAAAGGGCCACAATTGTAGGATTGTGTTTTCTGATTATTGTCATGTACCTATAGGAAATGGGTGCGTGTTTTCACTATGAACTTGATATACTGGATTACAACAAAACTATTAGCCATGAAACAACTATGAGTCCGATCTGCACAAATGACAGTTTTGAAACTACCATATACCCTCCCCAAATGGAAAGCATTGCAATGGAAAACCCCCAGTTCAAGATGATTTTCCCTGCCATAGACCTCAATGTTTGATGCCGGAGGGTAATCATCCCCATTTCATCCCATGAAAAATCACCATGAAAAATCACCTTTAGGTTTCCATTCATGGATGACTCTCATGAATTCTCCCATTTATATCCCATGCAGTTGTGGCCATGGCTATTAGTTATTTCATTCTATGGGATACATTTTATGAACGGGGTGACTTAGCACTTATAACTTATAACATCTTATAACTGGTACTTCGGGCCATGGATTGTGTAAATCACCATGAAATCACCATGAAATGACGAGTTGTGGCTATCGCCAAGGAGGGCAGTTTGGCTGAAGCGATGCTGTCTCCGACGCCGTCTGTTGAGCCCAGCGGGGGCATGTCATGGCGAAAGGGGGGGAAACAACAAAAATTGTACCCTCTGGTAATTTAACATAGCTATTGAAAATCACCATTCTTAATGGGAAAACTCACTATAAATGGCAATTTTCAATAGCTATGTTGACATAACCAGAGGGTACTTTTAATAGGGATAAGGATGGAACATGATGGAACATGATGGAAAAATGATGATGAACCAATGGGGATAGAGGCATTTTCAAAGAAACCCAAATGATGTTAATCATCAAAAGTGATGGTAATCATCAAAACAGTATTCCTATTCTAAAATCCACTGACTGACTTTGATTCACCATGCAAAAAAGGAGGCTTCCTAATTCATGAGCGTGCCCCCCAAATTATCCAAGTCATGAGACCATTTTTAGTATTGAAACCCATGGTGACTTGGGGATACCCCTATGTAAGGAAACCTGTAAATCAGGGGAATCATCAAAAATTGGTTTGAACATGTTTGAACCAATGAATCATGGATCTGTCCCTATCCATGGATGGAGATTTATCCATGGATTTTCCTCGAATTTAATGGATATTTTGACAGAGGAATTGTTCATTGAACATTGTGACTTTCCATTCTCACGTTTTGAATTACCAAGAGGATTCGCCCAAAGATGGTTCATTTCTGTCAATTCGTGGCACATGATTGGGAAACATGGATAAAAACGGATTATAACGGGATGGAACAAGGTACTTCGAAGATTTAAGGTTTTGGACGAACATTCATGGTGATGTTAGTTGTTTCTTTGTTTATCAATGTGTAACTAGTTTATAATTGACAATGTTTATCCTTATTATCCTGTTCATTTTTGGGGTACACACTGGCTTGACTCATGCCTATGGTACCTAACGTGCTCTGTTAAACTTTTACATCATGTTTTGATGGGTAGATTTGCTATGAACCCGCAGAGCTTGAAACAATGATTTTTAAATGAGATAATTGCGCAGGCCCTAGCTATTTAGTGTGTTAATTAGTACTATTTATTTTGATGAGCTTATTGAAGTGGAAATTTTCAGAGATTACCCGATGCTTTCCCAGATGAAACATGTTAGAGATTGTCACAGAAAACAACACGTGCCCCAAGGTGATGCTAAGACCAGGGGGAACATGAATCTGCATGGTTGCTTACTTAGATGTTGCCACAAATAGCTAAGTGGCCAGTCAGTGGCTTATAACCCCTCATATATGGGATGCATTGAGATACAGGCTAGTTACCAGCCACAACTAACGAATTCTGGCAACCTCTTATATCGAAGTTCGTGTTGGTGATATTTTTGGTTGCACCGGCTTGTCGGATGCCGGAAATATGAGGTGGCCCGAGAAAACCTTGAACCAAGGTTTGAAAATTGGACATGTTCCCTGGAATCATGTGTGAAACTTGGGGTCAAAATTTTGATGTGTCATGTTTTTTCCATGTTTGTTCCATGTTTGTCGATGAAAACCAGGGCGGAAGATCCCCCGCCCAGGAGCTACCCTTCGCGGGGTCGCTCTGGCAGTGCGGCAGCCTGCGGGTGGATGAATAAGGTACCCTATACAGGGTGGTGCCCCATAGTTAGCTAAGTTGGTTTATAAGTCCAATAACTATGGTTTATAGGTGATATATCTATAGTTAATGGGATTATAACCCATTTATAACTTGGGGGGGCACCACCTTGTATTGAAGGTTTACATAGATCTGGGTAAATTATAACGACCTCACTGCGACCGAGCCCTGAATGAAAGGTTAGAAAGGGGAATTGTATATCCCACTATTAGCCGCTAAATTTCAGGTTGGTGAAATATTGTACTGTAATTTACCCAGATAGATGTGGAAACCAGTCACCATTTGCAGATTTGCCGAAGGGTAAACCATGGGATTTTCCACATCTACGGAAAATGTTCACCTTAGGGTAAATTCCACTGCAAGCTCCACAGGAAAGTGTTGGAAAATGTTGGGGAAAACCAGGCCGAAATCTGATGAGATTGCAGGAGACATCCATGTTGTTTTCTTCTCTAAATGGGGAAAATGTCGCTAGGCAAGTGAAGTCATGGTATATAGAATCAGAGGATGACTGGTGGTTTCTGGGTACACCGGCAGTGATTGGGTACTTGGGGTGTATTCCAGGGATCGTCACTAGGTAAGCCGACTATGTAATTATGAAATATCACCAATATGTGGGCTAGATCTGTATGTGTTATAGACCACTTGCTTATATAATGAGCCAAGAGTCGGGATACATATTATCATGTATCCACCATAAGCAGGGATATTATATCTGGGCAAATTGATTAGGGGAAAGGCTTTAGTTCTTCACATTCCACCTCATTCATATCAACAATGTTACTTTTAATTAAGGTCTTTGACCTTAATAAATTACAGCGACCTCACTCGCCCACCTCACCATTTTTGACGATAAATGATGATTTATCTCAGTGCAGGAATGACTTCAAAGCAAACCAGGTATTTTCGCTTTGGGATTTGCACAGATGCAACACACATACGTATGTTTTGCGCGGATATCGAAGCATATCTAGCCAATGATTCCAATGGTATCAACAAACCTTTGATATGACCAGGATGACACAACCCCAATTTTGCCTGTGTCCTAGCTTCAAGTTCCTGAATCCACAATTTCCTCGGTTGTTTATGCTGATGCTATCTACAGTAAGGGTTTTATTTTTTCTGAAGATGGATGCTGGCTGCAATTGGGACCCTTTTGATAGAATAGAATTTCCAGCAACAGTATGGGACCTCCAGGGTGCAATGGTGGTCTGGAAGCCTCAGTACTAGACTGTGTACCGGAGTGACAGAGTTTCAGGCTGGTTGCATTTTTATATTGACATGTAAAAAACATGTACAACATGCTAGTTGCATATATGTTTTAGAAAGTTGCATACATATATGATCATATGTATTCATATGTATATATGGGTTAGTATTTTTTCCCGTGGTCCTAGATATGTATTGGTGGAAGGTGGCGCTCTAGCATACCCCCGAAGCACACCCCGAAGCATAGGCCCGAAGCATACCCCGAAGCAAACCCCACAAATGATTATCATTTTTGAGGGCTTGTTGATGGTTGTTGTTTGGAAATCATGGGTCGCGACACTTCATGCTGCCTTTAGGCGCCCTTTGCGCCATCCCGCCCTCCATCCCCGCAGTCTGGCTGCCCTATGCAGCCAAGTAGGTTGAAGACAGCTTATCCCGCCCTCCATCCCCGCAGTCTGGCTGCCATGTGCAGACAAGTAGGTTGAAGACAGCTTCGGTGCTGACTGGCCGCTGTAGCTCATTGTGGCAGCCGATACCGTTTGCATCCACCAGCTTCTGGTGCTGACTGGCCGTTGTAGCTCCTGTCTGGATCTGGTACGGTGTGCTGAATAGTGCTCCGCGAATCATACCCGAATCATACCCGAATCACACCCGTTTCATACCTCGAACCTTCAACTTCCAGACCCTGGCACATTTTGAACGCGTGAGTAAGATACTTCACATCTCTGCATAACCCTGAAAATAAGACATCCTTGCCCATACCGCCATGGCACCAACCACCTGCTGTCAGGAACAAACGTGCTTCCTACAGCCAGCTATGCCTTGAACCAACTATACCTGCTGTCAGAACTAGCCTCGGGCTTCACCTGTACTTGGGAAAGCCAGACTCTGGCCCTTGGCAGTTGATTTAGACCAGAAAACCATACGTGTCTCTCTCTCTCTATATAATTATATATATGTGTGTGTGCAAGGATATACACAGAGATATATAAAAGGTTGGAAAGTTTGTTGGAAGCCTCTTAGATATGAAGTAAGTTCCATGTGATGAAGTTCATGCGAAGCAGACCCCGAAGCATACCCCCGAAGCATACCCCCTAGACAAACCTTCCAGTGGGGATACGGTACGGTATTTCCAGACGAACCCATATATACATACATATATATATAATAGACATGTATAATATGTATATAATATAACCATCCTGATGTAGATAGAATATGGATCTTGCGAAGATATTGGCATTTTAGCAGTGCTTTTGAGGAAAAACACATATATAACATCTATAGTTTCTCATATCTGGGTATTTAGTCGGCCAAGACTTGGGTCGCAAGCTGAGCGGCTTTGCCTCTATTCATGATATCCCTGAGGCATGTGCTGCCTCATAGTTGACGAATGCGAGATTTATGGTGGCTTCATCTGCAAAAATGGTAATCAATGATGTATCATTATCATCAATTTATGTAACCTAGTTGAGTTGGTTTAGGACACTGAAACAACTAGGGTTTATGGTACTTGTAAATATCTCCATGCTTAAGGGATGTTTTTAAACAACTGAAAAGGGCACTGCCGATTGTAGTATGAATTGATGACTATCCTGGGGGTGACCGCCCAATTGATAGTAGTCAGTGTCTGCTAATCAGGGGGTGACTCAGTGACATTACACAAGAATAGCCTCCAGTAATCAATCATGGCAATTTTATTTCGTGTTCAATTTACGTTTTGTTTACTGAAAAACATGTCAACTGCTCAAGGGCTTCTCCAACCTTCCATGGATAGTTTACCAGCCACAAGAGGAAAAACTTGGGTTATTCAGCCATACCTCACCTCTTTACTTGAACCAAGGGGCAACCTTGTGCCAGGATATTTGTATCCTCGTTTTGAGTCCAAACACCACGATTGATCCAGTAGATTCAGTAGATCAACAGGAACTTCAGTCGTACTCGTATTGGACAATTTATTCTGGTACAGGGCAAGGGCAAAAGGAACCACATGGTGGGGGAGCGCCGCATATTGTTTCAATCCACAATAGCTTTGATTACATGTGTACACAACGGGTCCATTCCCCAGCGGTTGCGAAACGGTGGACACACCTACCATTCAAATAGACTGATCATCCTATAGTTAGACAATGTCAGGCAACCAGTCACCAACCAAGATCTACTGCAAAGTATGCTTTGGATCCTTCTGGCTCTTCCATTCTTGACAAACCATGCGTTTACGTCTTCGCTGTGGGAACCTGCAATGCATGGTCCGATGTAGATGTAACATAAGAGAAACTAGACACAGGCAAGACGCGGCTGCCAACACTTCTGAACCCATTTTTACGGCAAGATGCTGAGTCAACCGACTGGATGCAAAAATGGTGGTATATTCTCACCAGCTGCAAGCGTTGATTTTTTGGATGGCACCTGCGATTGGCCATGTCAAGGTGTTGCCACTGGGCTACTGGGCGCTGTTAGCCATTTAGGCGCGGCCAAGGGCTGCTGAAGGCCTTGGTACCACGCTGGCGTTTGCTTCTCAGGCTCTGCGCCCTCACCTAGCAGATCGCTCCGCCAGGCAGCCGACGTTTATTTTTTTCGCGTGGGTTTGAAGGGCGCGCCCCAGAGACTATAATGAACAGACCATGGTCCCACAGTCATCACCATTTAAGCCTCCAAACAGCCATCAGGCACTTTCATCGCATTAAGCAGCATGCCCAATGCATTTTCACCTGGTTTCACCTTAATTGAACACTGAACCCCGCCTAGTATCGTAACCGTACCGACTTTTTGAAGAACATCTCTGTATCAGTTCAACTGGTTAACACGGTTCCCTTGATGGATCATATTCACAATCTTCTGTGGTTGGCGCGCTCTAGTTTTGGTCGAATTAACCTTATTTCATGAATTATCTTACGTTTATGATTTTCCTTACCATTTGCTTAGGTGTAGATCCACGCTGCTGAGGTTTGATTCCCCTCGTTTGATGGTATCATCTATAATTCCAAATTCCAGTGTGCATATAATCACGTTCGCTTTTGTTCAGTGATCATGTGATCAGGTGAGGTGAGTTCGGTTCTCTGGGCAACTTTCACTGAACTTGGTTATTGGGTGTTTTTTTTGGCAGTGCCAGCAAAACATCTCATGAGATCGCGTGCAGTTCTTGAACGTTTCCGAACGTCAGGAAATGCACCGCCTTGTCAATGTTTTTCGGTTTCTTTTTGTGTTCCAAAAGGACACAGGGACAAACCTCGTTGATCGAACTAGCCACTGGAGCCGGTTCCTACAGACGGGTCACATTATACAGTGACATAGCCTGCAAAAGACCCCAGGGTTTTACACTTCTGACAAGAAAGTGAATGTCACGGGTGTGGGGAATCTGCGCGTGGGTTCTTTGAGGCAAATGATTCCACATGCTCCATTTTCAATCCCAAACCTCCATGTTTAGATGAAGACCCCTTTGTTCCTGGTTTATGCCCGCATTTGTGATGCTGAATGTGTATTTTTGTACTGCGCATTTTATGGCTACTATAAACAGTGATAAACATTGACCTATACAAACCTACAAAATGAAATGCAGGGAATCTAATGTTTTGAATAGAGCAGAGGCTAAATTCTTATTATGAAGGCATTATGGTTGGTTTTATGCCCCAAGTATCCTTATTTTTGTTGGTAGTTCGATTATTTGTTTGAAAACGCAAAACAATTTTAACATTCCACAATATAATGCAATATCCCAATAAAATCATTATTGGGTGATATCCAGTACATGATGGCATTTCACAAAAGAATGGATATCAATCCTACTATAATGAAATATTCCAACATTCCACATGTATTATTGTTATATCACACTATATCCAAATATATATATATATATCCCATTTTAACATTCCACGGTATCCCATTAGATCATTTTTTCGTTGTCATTTCCTGGATTTATCACATGAGTTCCAGTCATCCTGCTGCAGGTGCCACCGCCGTTGGGCACCTCAACCCGGCTTATGGCTGGCCCGGCTGACCTTCGACGGGGTTCCTAAAATAGCACCCCAAATCATCCAAAATGAGACTTTTGTAGTATTGAAACCCTTGGTTTGGGATACCATTTTAGGAGACCTCCATTTAAGTGTGTGATGTATTGTTTAACAAATGGGTTCTGACCATTGATGTTTTCCTCATCTACAGTCTACAGTTCTCCACCTGCAAAAGGGTAGATCCAGGAATACACACTTGAAAAAGAGAATCGGTTTCTATCACATGTACAGTCCGTTTGGTGAATGAGTTTTTTTCAACACGGTGGGAACGGGAACGCCATAGTGTACTTCAAAAACCATTTTTTTTATCCTGAACTCCCAGGCAATCGCAATCAAGGCTGGGTTGTGTCCAATGGTTTTCACGGCTATCAGTGCCTTCATGGAGGAGATATTGCGCGCGGTGCCGTGATGCCATCAACTCCACGGTTGCTCTTGATGCAACTCATGTGATGAGATCTTGAAAGTCCTTGGCAAACCCAAAGGGAAGCCTGAATAGAAGGCAGGGAAGAATGCCCCGTTCCTCTTTGGAGAGAGGATGTGTGAGGTTTATGCAGATGGGGAGAACTATGGCAAGATTGTTGCGACATGCAGCCATGTAGCCATGTTGGTTCTTATGCATGGGCAAAGGCAACAGCAAATAAACAGTTGGATTAGTACTTTCTAGTGAACCCACAACAGGTTCCTGTAACTCATAGGGATTGCTATTGACAGGTGTTTACTGGAACCCTGTGGATCCTTGCGAGTGTGGGAACCCCACCATGGATGTTCAACAATGTTCGTCTATTTGATACCCTTTGGAGTAGAGTACATGGCACCTGAAAACAAACACTGGTTGGTGGTTTGGGACATTTTCTATTTTTCCATGTATTGGGAATAGTAATCCCAACTGATTTTCATATTTTCAGAGGGGTGTATACCACCAACCAGAACTCATTTGGCTGACACAGCCGAGGCTTCTGAGCGATATCTCACTGGGAAGTGCATCCACGTCGAGGCACTCCCTGAGATGATGTCGACAGATCTGCAGATCACTCCGCTCATTGCCATACATGTACGGTATGTGAATACATGGTATGTGCTCACATGGAATATCTGGTGTATATATATATATATATATTTATTTATTTATATCATATATCATATATACATATATCTACATATATATATATATACATACATACATATATACACATATGTGTGTGACATATGTGCATATTCTATCAATAGTACACATACATGCATTCCTACATGCATACGTCCAGGCACATCTTCCTGTCGTGACAGGCCTGGCGCAAGTGGTCCACCACCCGTACGCTTGTCTTCGGGGGAGGTGCTGTGAAAATGTCGGGTTCCGGGAGTCCTGGGGGTTCCGGTCCTTGTTTGTGAGTTTTAAATGATTCAACTGGAAGTATAGTAAATCAAACATGTCAATACTAATGAACATCATTTATAGATTTATAGCCATGTATAATTGGTGTTTAAAACTGGTGTCTCTAGATACAACATGGGATTCTGAGGTTTTTTAGTGGCGAGCCGTAGCTGTTGATGATTTCATGTCTTGTGTTTAAGAATTACCCTCCAATAAAACGAGTAAAACCTGAGAATGTAAAATATCATAAACATATCATAAGATATCATAAAATGACATTTATGATTTTCTAGATGAACTTCTGATTTCTTGGTTCCTGACATTCCCAGGGTCCGAGTCATCAGCGGAACTTAGTCCCATGGGATCTCATGGTTCTGCGTCCCACCATGGTTGGGCAACGTTTATCAATGATGAAAATACAAACAGTGGATGGGAGAAATCCTGCACCAGTTGATAGATGGTTTATCCGTTTATCCCATTATTTTTAGGGTTTCAACCATCCAAGTTGGTGCAGGAGTTCTTCCATCCACAGTATGGGGTATGATTCGCCACACAAAAAAAAGAAGTGCAACTTCTCCTATCACGGGGGCAACATTCAATTTCCACAGCCATCCTTGAGCAAAGTATTTCTCATTTGAGCTTCAAAAGCCTTGCTGCTTGATGATTATTGGGTGTTTTTCCACCCAACACATTGGGTAGTATCACAATCCAAAGGAGAAATCAGGTTGAACAACCAGTATATAAGGACGACAGAAGGTTTTGAACACTGATATATAATTTGATTTTGTTGTTCACCGATTTTGATCCGTGCCAATTTGGATATCCCTCTTGAGGCCAGAGATGAGCCTGTCATGTTCTTCCTATGGCAAGACACAATAGCAACATGTGACAACCTGTGTATGGCCCTGGCAAATTTTGCGCTAGCTTTCAAGAATTTCCAACAAAGATCAAGTTACCAAAGATCAGGCAACAAAGTACGTTCATTATTCCATGATATTCCATGTCCAACCTTTGAATCCACAGCGCGCCAAAAAATGTATCCCAATGCCCAGGGTGCTTCGAGTGGGTCGCACAGAGTTGGAAGTCCCAGTCTGGCGATCTGGCCATCGAGGGACGATGTGTCCTGGTGAACTCATCATTTTGCTGCTGAAAAAAACACGTCATCTTACAGATGAACTATGTTCATAATGATTCTAATGACTGCTTGGTGGTTTCAAACATGGCTTGAGTTTTTTCCATCATATATGGGATGTCATCCTTCCCATTGACATTGACTAGTATTTTTCAAGATGGTTATTGCACCACCAACCAGATGATGATTAGTATACATTTTGCGAATGTGAAGATTTTGTCAAGTTTTATCAAGTGGCAGTGTGTCAAAACCTTGTACCCCTGGTGAACATCAAAATAGCTGGTAAATGGATGTTCATCCCATTAAAAATGGTATTAATAGGTATTGATCCATGCCCAAGTCTCTATTTCTGCTGAACTCACATTTCTATTGGTGAAATCGGTGAAGTCTCAGGGAATCCCTGCTGTGGTACGAGCTCGGCCGCTGGCGCGGAGCTGGTTGGTGCGCAGGGCGAGGGGAGAGCAGCCCTGGGCCGAGGGAAGTGGCATTAGGTCGGGTGAACCATCGAAGAATCTGGTGATTTCAGAGAGATGACCTCGGATGAACCTTCAGAAATTAGGATTGACATCAACATCTTAAGATGGATGGATCATGATTTTCATTTTTTTCCAATGTAGGGCCACCTAAGCTTTGTTGGTTTGTTTTACAAACCCCATAAATGTTATAGTTATAAGTATCATAAACTATAGTTATTGGAATTATAAACCAACTGAGCTATCTTTTTTGGGGGGGTCCCCACTTTGTAGGGATTGACCTTCCAAGCCATGAGGATTGGACCATTGTTACAATGGTGATATCATGGGGATGTGATGGGATGTGTTTACACCATCCGGTGAGGGTCAAGACATGGATAGCTGGGAATCCTCAAGTTTTTATCTGCTTGGTGGTTTGGAACATGAATTTTATAACTTTCCAGAAACAGTTGGGAATTTCATCATTGAATTTGATTTTTCCATTCAGTTGGGAATTTCATTATTCTTTTTTTCCAGAAACAGTTGGGAATGGAAAATCATCCCAACTGACGAACTCACTCCATGATTTCTTGGAATGGGGTAGGTTGAAACCACCAACCAGAAATGGATGTTGCTTGGAAAATCATCTACACATGGAGATGTTTCTTCGAAATTTGGCATGTGTAAAAATTACCGGTGCTCAATCATGGTGAGCCATGTGCAAATTATATAAGCGGAAACTGGGATACTATGGGATATAGACCCAATATGATAAGAGTATTGGATGCCGGCTTGCAACAGAGGGGGTTGAACATCCATTGATGGGTAGCTGAGTATCGTAAACTGCATGGCGAGGGTATAGATTTGAGCATATCAGCTGCAAAAAAACGTTGAAGCAGCTATCCTTGGGATATCTTGGGATTCTACCATCAAACGATCGGAAGACCGAGTGGTAAAAGGCAGGTGATCTCAACCCAACTTGGGCGATGTGACCACTGATTGTAGTCTAGGCAGCAACAACATACTATCTAGCTGCAAAGCCAAAAACACAAAAAAATCTGGTCATTGTGGGAAAAAGCCGTAATGAACATTTTTTTTGTAAAATATTGTTTTTACCCGTAATGACCAAAAAAAATGTTCAAATCAAAAGAACATTGCAGTCCTACACGTAGCAAAACCGTATTTTTCAACATTTTGTTGAAAAAAAGCCGTAAAAAACCGTAGCAGCTCTCACACAAGCCTACCCGCAGCAAAACCGTACTTTTTCGACATTTTGTTGAAAAAAGGCCGTAAAAAGCCGTAGCAACTCTCACAGAAGTGGCTCCAGACGATCAAAGCTGTAATGACAAAAAAAAATGGTGAAGGCCGTTTGACCAAACAAAAATGGGATTATGGCTTTCCAGGTAGATATAGAAATCAGGAATTGACAGTAATGATGGTCTAAAGCATAAACGTGGGAATTCAGAATTTTGTTTGCTTGCCATCAATATATCCCCGTATTGTACATCCGAACTGTTTCGGTCAATTCACTTCTTGTTGGTGAAGTTGTTATTTCGTTGTTCGAGTGAAAACTCCCAATTGTGTTGCCAAACTCCGAATATTTTCTTGCTCAACATTGATTTCTAGTTGTCGAAATCCCAATTTGTTCCTACTGAAATCACTCATACTGGGGTTTCACATGGTTTCACATGGTTTCACAACCATTTTCATTCCGGTTTTCTTAAGGCGAGACGACCCAATAGGGGGAGAAGCTTCCGACCGTTCCGACCCTTCGGCGCAGGAAGATCAGGGTCGACAGGTTGATGTGGTGCCTGCGAGGTGTGAAGTGGAGAACTGGAAGGGGCTCAGGGGTGCTCCAAGTGATGATGTTGATGATGTTGATGATGATGATGATGATGAATATGATGATGATGACGATGACGACGACTACGACGACGACGACGTGATAATAAAGATGATGGGATAATCTGTAACAATGATGATCACAATAATAATCATCATAATCATAATGATAATATGATCATAAGGTAACAATAGTGCTGCTTATGGGATAATAATCCTTTGGGATGGTACTGATGGGATGCGAGTAAAGGAGGAGGATGATGATCATAATGATGATGTATAGGATGGGAGGATATCTTACCATCATCATAATTATTACCCCATCATAGTGAGGATGATGTATAATCATTGTAACAATGATGGGATGATAGTAAATACATGTAAATATTTATGCCATACCGTATGATAATACCATAATAGGATCGGATGGTTCAATAATAGGATGATGGGATAATATGGTGCAATATTAGTACAATAGAATAGAAACCTTTGATACTGTGGTACAAGAGTCACTGGAGTGATGGTGAATTCAGCTCTAATTAGTGAACTATTATAACATATCCAGATGATTTTTGAATATCATGCCAACTAGTTAGAACTTGAGGCTACCAACTAAGTAGAATAAGTTCAACAAGTTCACTTTCAGTACTTCAGCTACCCTACGGTTCAAGTCAGTGTGATATCACGGGAATTTGTCTGCCCCGTCTTTCCGGTCGAATTCGGCACAGTGCGTGAGAATTTCCTGGGTGAAATCGTGGCGAAATCTACCCATTGTTTCTTTTAAACAGGGTTACTCCAACTTTTTTTTTGCGTGAATCATAGCCCATCATAGGTTGATAACTGGCAACAAACTATGGTTTATGGATGTTTATGGTAGATATATCTGTGGATGCTGTGGTTTATAAACCAACCTGCAACAGCGGGACCTACCTCATAGTGGAAAATATTGGTAGTTTTACCTCCGTATCTGCCCATTCCGTATCTACCCATTCGTGGAGACTTAACTTGTAATGTAAAGCTTGGAATTCTACCAATAAAACAACTATTGTCATAAACCGCAGATCTAGGTCTGAATGATTGTGATTGAAAACTGCATTTTCATTCTCGCCAGGATGAACTTGGATTTGAGCCATAAAACTCAGAATTTTAGCCAATAATTGACGGCGATCGACCTTGTATGAAACGACCACAACGTATGAAAGCAACGGTCAAACACAAGTAAGCAAGATGGTATTACAGGTATGATAAACCACACTGTGCAATCGGAACTTATCAATACGTCTGAACCATGGGTTTCCGTTCCCAGTAATTCAACATGTCTAGTGATTCAAAGCCTACCTGTACTCAGCAAAATTGGAACGTCGCAACGTGCCAGATATCTCGATCCGGGCTTCCGGAGCAGGGGAAGCTCAGAGGGCTAAGCTCGGCAGGGAATCAACTGGGAGTACTTAGCTCGGCACTTGGGGCCCCCATAAAAGAACAGGTCGGACAGAAGATGCGGTAAGGGACCCCTAAATCCAGTGGATAATGATCATTTCCCCTAATAAAAATAGCCAAATGGTTCGAAAATGGTTTTGTCACCAGTTATTAGTTGGACATACTGGTATCAACCCGAGCCCCAAACCATTAATCCTAACTTGACATCAGGCGAGTCTTCCATGTCACGGATGCAGTGATGAAGTGTTCATTAATGCTGGTCGGATAATGTCGGATACACATTTTTCACCTGTAATATACTTTGATATTACTTTGATAATCATTCCCATCTATAATACACCCAACAAAAATTACACGTGATAAGTGTGCTTCGTTTCAAAATGTGCCAATGAAAGGTACAATGGTACCATCGATTGCAAATCGCAAAGCTCAGCTTGAATCCGTCCAGATAGTCGCCCAAACATGAAAGAACATCAAAATCCTACTTGGTTTCAGAGACATTTTGCAGGAATCCTCATATTTGATGGTAAAAGTACATAAAAATAAACATATAAAAAAAAAAACACACATCCTTTCCAGTTCCGATGTTCCTTCTAACTATCCCTTGAAAACAAGACGTTCCGTTCCATGTTCCTCAGGCGAACGGAACGCGGAGGTGCCATGGCATCCATGGGGTGAATCCCACATCTGAAGTCAGAATCTGAAGTCATGGAAATCCTCATTTTGACCTTATCATTGATGTTTTAAAATTCTATAAACATTCAGTTTGATACTTGATGATGGTCTATTCAGGTTGAGATTTGATGATAATTGATGACTAAACATTCATTGATGATGGTTTTGCGAAAGAGAAAAATCTTTGTTTATTGAAGCTGAACTTCCCATTATCTGAACTCCCGGGACGGTGATCCAAGACAACCTTTTTTTTTGTTTTCCATACATTCGGAAGAATACTCCCAACTGACGAACTCATATTTTTCAGAGGGGTAGGCTCAACCACCAACCAGGTACTATATCACCATTCATGATTACTATATTACCATTGATACTACCATTGATATCTCCATTGATATTACCATTGATATTACCATTGATATTACCATTGATACTACCATTGATATCGCCATTGATATTACCATTGATATTACCATTGATACTACCATTGATACTACCATTGATATTACCATTGATATCGCCATTGATATTACCATTGATATTACCATTGATACTACCATTGATATCGCCATTGATATTACCATTGATATTACCATTGATACTACCATTGATATCCATTGATATCGCCATTGATACTACCATTGATATCGCCATATGATATTACCATTGATATTACCATTGATACTTACCATTGATATCCATTGATATTTGACCATTGATATTACCATTGATATTACCATTGATATTACCATTGATATTACCATTGATATTACCATTGATATCGCCATTGATATTACCATTGATATTACCATTGATATTACCATTGATATTACCATTGATACTACCATTGATATCGCCATTGATATTACCATTGATATTACCATTGATACTACCATTGATACCCATTGATATTACCATTGATATCCATTGATATTACCATTGATATTACCATTGATACTACCATTGATATCGCCATTGATATTACCATTGATATTACCATTGATACTACCATTGATATCGCCATTGATATTACCATTGATATTACCATTGATATTACCATTGATACTACCATTGATATCGCCATTGATCTTACCATTGATATTACCATTGATATTACCATTGATACTACCATTGATATCGCCATTGATATTACCATTGATATTACCATTGATACTACCATTGATATCGCCATTGATATTACCATTGATATTACCATTGATATTACCATTGATACTACCATTGATATCGCCATTGATCTTACCATTGATATTACCATTGATATTACCATTGATACTACCATTGATATCCCATTGATCTTACCATTGATATTACCATTGATATTACCATTGATATTACCATTGATACTACCATTGATATCGCCATTGATATTACCATTGATATTACCATTGATACTACCATTGATATCGCCATTGATATTACCATTGATATTACCATTGATATTACCATTGAGGGACTCCAGATATTACCATGGCCAGGTGTACTCCAGAGACCCCATCAGGTGCAGATGGGTTGATGGGTTTCCAGCTGGTGGATGGTGGTAATTCACGAATTACCCGGTAAACAAACAGTTTGCTATGGAAAGTGGCCGGTTTATAGTTCATTTACCTGCTAAAATGATAATTCTATAAATTTTCGATAGCTATGCTGTTGACTTGAGGGTAATGGATATGTGGTGGATGGAAATATATGCTGCTGAATGGTGAAATATTACAAATTATACGAGACCACAAGGGAAATTACGACCTAACCGGAAAGTCATGTCGGAAAACATGGAGAAAACATGAGGCTAAGATCAAAAAATTCTTGGAGATTTGGAGGTGTATACTGCATATACCCCGTTCGATAGCCACTGTATACATGGCGTTACCCTCTGGTTATAACATTCACAGTTCGCCATGGTTTTTCGATGGCCCTAATCGAAATAGATGGTTTACCGTTCTTAATAGCATGGTGGATCTTTTCATGGCGAAGTGTAACAAATAACCAGATGGTAACGCCACCATTTATTTAAGGGTCCCATGATTTCGCTGAGCAGCTGTGACTGGTAAGCCTTGGTCGAGTTTGTTTTCAGGCTTCAGCATTTGACATTTTAGATGGAGGAACATGTCATACCACACTAAAAGTGGTTGCTGGTTCCGACTACTTGTGATTTCCATCCCTGCCCAAACACTTGTTTTCAGGGATTGGGTTACTTGAAGCATCTTCCCCTTGTTGACCGTTGACATCCGTTGACTGTCCTAGGTCTTTCAGGCAAGGTTTTTCAGGAAATTGGAGCATCTTCCCATGACAAAACAAACAATTTCTACAGGCAGATGGAGATCGACCCGATCGACCCTCGCAGCGGTCGTCCCTGGTAGGGCACCCAGATGGTGAGATCTTGTCTCAGATGGCGGGATGGGCTCCCATTTTTTAAAGGGGGGATTGATACCCTCTGGAAACCCAGTGGTAACCTAATGAGAATCATAATATAATTAGAAAACAATCCTAATATATGTCTAATATACATAATCGAATCTATTTTGATCTAATTATAATGATGATATTTTTTTCCTCATAATCTATCATCGTATGTATCCTCTGGCTTGCTGAAAATGGACGCATTGTAGATGAACTCGTTGTCTTCAACAGATGGTGTTCGTCCAGAGATTCTAATCATATTCAAATCATATTCTAATGGTCAGAATATTCACAATTAGATCTAATGGTCATTCTAATCTAATGTTGTGGATACTAATCATATTCTAACCATATTCAAATCATAATCTATTGCTGATTGGTATCCACAAAATGGTCACGTCAGGTGGCTGTGATTCACCAACCAGGATGCTCCGATGGCTGTGTCGCTCCGATGGCAGGAGTGGTCACTGATGCCGCCACGAATGCGTCACAGCGAATGGAACTCGGAAAATTTGCGTTGATCAGGAAAGAACTGGCTCGTGGATTTTCGAATTCTGAAGTGTATATCTAAATATATTTAAGATTTTTCAAGATCATTTACCCTCTAGTAAATTAACATAGACCCTGGCAGTTGTCGGGGTTGGAAGACTAGTTTCCATTAAAAATTGGTGATTTCAGGGTCCAACTGTTAATTTACCGGGGTGTAAGAAGGACACTCCAAATTGATCGTGTTCTTCTTCTTCTTCCAAATGAATCTAAATGAGTGTTCATAGCATCAACCAGTTCAAGGTGACTTGACGCAACGCCAGCCGTGAAGCGCGCGGATTTGGCGGAGATTGGTTCGACTTAGATGCCGTCCCTGGGACAGCCCTCATGACAGAAGGATCTGGGGCTGGTAAAATATGGGGCAAAAACATTATATATTATATATTATTTTATATTATATATCTTAAATTTCTATAAATTATTTACATAATAGATTTAATTGATAAACATGAAAAATTGCGGTTGCCGTGAAATATGGGGTTAATCGGTTTATCCATGAAATACAGGATTTGGCATCCAATTTTGTTCATGGTGAGACTGACGTACTGACATAGATATCGTATGATATTGTGTTAAACTCCATGAAAAATCAAGGTAAAATAAATCGTCAATTGGACTTGAATGTACATGTAGTACAACATGCTGGGATATAGTGAGTAAATTAACTGGATTGGTAGTCGTTTAGCAATACCTTACGAAGCTTCTGTGTTGTTTGGTGGCTGGTACATGGCTGCGTCTCATGGAGAACATTTTGATAAACCCTGGGATTTGGTGTTCCAAATTTTGAGACAACTTTTTATGTGTTTTTTAAAATTTAATGTATGTATACCTGTGTTTACTTAGATGATTTGGAGGGGAATCCGGACAGGCAAATCTATTTGTTCCACGGGTGATTTGAATCATGAGTCATGACAAAACTAAAGGATAATGTTGATTTATTCAAACCATTTAGATTCTTGCTTTCTGGTTTGAAGAGTTATATATTTACATACAATGCATGTTCTATTTGTGTTTGGGATGATTAATGATTGACACCACACGCATAACTGCATGTTTGTTCAGGTTTGTTAGGTTCCATCAAAGGTGAGATGACACCATTCCCAACATTGATGCTGTCGACATGGCTTTGCTGGGGGCTGCACTCCCTGACATGCCCTGACAAGAGCTTGGGCGATGCATTGCCGAGAGAGGCGCCGGTACACGTAGAGGGTTTTGGGACCAATGATCATGTCTACTAATGTGGGTAAGACAATTTAATAAACCATCCCCCAGTCATCACCATTTTTATAGGTGGTACCAGCCATTCCCAAATGGGTGGTTTATGACATTGTTTTACACACATTATTGGAAGACAATCGACAGCATTCATGTTTTTCATGCTTGGAAGACGATGAATCTGATTCCGCTTCTGTTGTTTTCCCCATTTGGAAGTCAGTTCGGTGGTGGATTCTGATCGTCACAAACTCATTTTTTGCTACGTGGTGTGATGATCTGAATGGTCCTGTCAACATACGTTGCTGCTAAAGGTTCCCAATTTGTTCGGCGTATCAAGGTTGGCTAAATTCATATCATTGTTTGATTCTACATATCTCTAGGTTTTGTTGGTTCTCTACTTTTTGTCCCTATAAATATATAGTTTTTTATTCATAGTACAAATATTGTACTATGAATAAATAACAACTATTTATAAGGTTTCCAAGTGGAATAGTTGTTTTTTATTCATCGTACAATATTTCTGATCGTGATTCCACTTGGATGTTTGGGATGGTGCCGTTGTGAGTCCACCAACGAAAAAAAAACCAACGGGATTTGCCGTGCCGATTGGTAGTGGTGCCCCAGTGAACTCGCGACACTTCGCGAAATTGGTTGGTGCAAAGAAGTCCAATTTCACGATGGTTTTTGTTGGTGATATATGGTGATATATCTATAAGTTAATGGGATTAACTGTGGTTTTTAGGTGATAGATCGATAAGTTAATGGGATTATAACCCATTTATAGCTGGGGGGGCACTGCCTTGATATAATATCAACACAAATATTATGTCGTTGAATTGTCCTGGCGTGCAATATCGGATATGAACTGCCTCGCCCAGATATTCGTGGTGCGATGGTTGCTGCTATGCTGGGATGATCCTCAGTGTTGGACATTCATTGTTAGTGTAGACCAAGCAAGATCGGTTATTTCGGTACCGGAGAGATTGCAACATCTTCATCATTTGAAGGTGTCCGACAAAGTAAAGTACGGATGACTAATTGGCACTGCTTACCCCAACGTGTTCGGCATGTGTTTCCATGTTTGTCGGTGTGAGGGTCGAGATATCAAGGTATATACTCGATTTGGAATGAAATTGAAGCCACTCAGTTGAGGGCCGTGGTTCTGTGAGCAATGCGCATATCTTTTTGAATCCCCATGCCCATCCACGTCCCACATCAAAATTAATGCTATATAGTAGGTCCTGGCGGTTAGTAGTGGTTATATATATCATTCGAAATACCATGTTTGTATCTTGTTACATTACATCGAACAAAACTATTCTTGGACTAGATATCATAAACATTCATAAACTCTTACCATCTCTTACCTGTGTTCATACATCACCAAAGTTAAAATAGTAAACACACATCATGTGCTATGGAAAAGATATGAACTCTTTGATTTTGCGGCAGATTGCCAGCGGGATCGATTCTCAGCGCGGTCACATGATCATCCCAGTGGCTATCGATTCGAATTACAGAACTCTGTAGGGCCCTGCTTGGCATCGCCGCGGCGCATGGTCATCCGCAGCACCAGGGAAATATCAATGTGGGGGTCCTATTTATGTGTAGAGTCCAGAACATGCGAACATGTTTAACGGTGTTGTTATCATGTTGGATGGCACCTATCAATAAGTATAAATAATTATATATATATAGATATAATAATTATATATATACATATGGACTCATATGGACCATTATTTCCCATCTAACTCTTGTCTCCGACCTTCTCGGAGCGTGTCCACGTTCTCCAACTATTTGTCACCGGAAGTTGTTTAAAGTGTCCGTTAGATACCACCGGCAACTCTATGTAATCATCGTACTCATAATTTGTACAGTGGACTGTGGACTGATATCACTACAACATGGTGCCCGCCTCAGTTGTAAGTTGATTATAGTTGATTTAGACACCCCATGGAATAAAACCCAGTTGTTCTTATAAATCAGCCTAGCTAACTTGTGGACACCACCTTGTATGATATATACCCATGGTATCTCCAAAGCCGTGGCAACGCCGAGCCTCGGGTCTGGCTGCCCTTGGTGCCAAAAAGAAGCCGGCGGGTGTTCGGGTTAGCAGAGTTTAGCGTGGTGTGGGGGTTCTGTAGGTACCCAAAGTTATGGATGCTTTATGATGGTTGATTTTTATATATGTTTCAGTTTCATGATGGAAAGACGAACAAAATTTAGGATGACTGGATGGGCTACCGCCATCATGACTTTGGAAACCTCCATTTGCTGTGGCTATGGATGCACTGTAGTTCACATCAAGATAGGTGGCATATTCATCCCTGAATTTTCATAGTACGAACCAGGTTTTAATATATATTTTATTTTCTTTTATTTATGAATATAGTTCTACACGGATGATATTGATATCTCACTTTACAGAAACTTTATTCCCAGACAATCTCACTTCCCAAAGGAACATGAGTGTAAGTTCTTTTGAACATAATATGTGTATAAAATTGTACAAATATATATATATATACATATGATTATATATGCATATATATATTATTATTATTATCATTATTATTATATATATATGCATATATATTTAATTACAGTATACATATATATACATATATATATATATGTATATATATATATGTATATATATATATGTATATATATATGTATGTATGATTACATAATTATATGCATATATACAATATATACAGTATATATACATACATATTCACCTCGAAACTTAATGTTACTTATATTCCAATGATTTCAAAGATTCTTTCCAGTCAACATCTCTCTTTCTTTCATGGCAAGTGGCCATTTATTCCGCAGCCGTGGCTCTCCATGTGGGTTGCGAAGCGGCGCGGCGTTGCGACGCCGCGCGCCGCGCAACGGACCGACGGGTGAACGGCTGAGCCACGCGTTGAGGTGGCGACAGTTGAGCGCTTCGTGGTGTGTCAGAGGTTGATAAAGATGGTTCTATATAACTAGGTTAACCTTGTATGGGTATAATAATTATATTTCATTATTATTATATATATATAATTAATCCTATTGTTGTTTGTTATAAATGAGAAGATCTACTAACCAGCTTTTACATGTTTTTTCCCCACCTGCCAGGTGAGGGTTGTTAGATTTTATGTCAGTTGCCTGGTCCTCCTCGTCCTCCTCCTCCTCCTCCTCCTCTCGTTGTCCTCCTCGTCCTCCTGCTCAACTGCGACTCGCGATCCACAGTGTTCTCTGTCGGACCTCCACCACGACCATCCACGCCCAGTGTTCCCTGCCGGACCTCAACCACGACCATCCACGCCCAGTGTTCCCTGCCGGACCTCAACCACGACCATCCACGCCCAGTGTTCCCTGCCGGACCTCAACCACGACCATCCACGCCCAGTGTTCCCTGCCGGACCTCAACCGCGAGTATCCCCGCCCAGTGTTCCCTGCCGGACCTCAACCACGACCATCCACGCCCAGTTTCCCTGCCGGACCTCAACCACGACCATCCGCGCCCTGCCGGACCTCAACCACGACCATCCACGCCCAGTGTTCCCTGCCGGACCTCAACCGCGAGTAGACCAAGTGTTCCCTGCCGGACCTCATCCACGTGTTCCCTGCCGGACCTCATGTAGGAATATAGTAAAATGTCAGATAGAGTGCCAGAAGATTTGCCAGGTAGAATGCCAGAAAATATGCCAGAAGATATGCCAGATAGATATGCCACAAGATATTCCAGAAGATATGCCAGATAGAATGCCAGATAGAATGCCAGATAGAATGCCAGAAGATATGTCAGAATATATGCCAGAAGATATGCCAGATAGAATGCCAGATAGAATGCCAGAAGATATGTCAGATAGAATGCCAGAAGATATGCCAGATAGAATGCCAGAAGATTTGCCAGATAGAATGCCAGAAGATATGCCAGAAGATATGCCAGATAGAATGCCAAATAGATTGTCAGAAGATATGTCAGATAGAATGCCAGAAGATGTGCCAGTAAGAACATGTATAAATGTCATGGTGGGGATCACACGAAGTAAAGTAATTTTGTTTAGGCTATCTAAGATTGGCAATGATAAGTGGGGCAATTTCATTGTGGCATGCTACGCCGCTACGCGTTTTTATTGGGGGCAATTTCATGATTCCATGGGGATCCCGCTCTGCTTTTCCGTGGTCTTTTCCACGAAGGTCCGTATGGTCGTTGTGTCTTCCAGTTGTTATCTAAGTTATCCACATCAAAAAAGCCACCAGCTGCCAGTGGCCTAACTCAGAGTTGGCGGGCAAATATCTCACTCTGTTGTGGGTGTCACCGTTTCGGGAAGTTTGATCCAAAGGATCAACGTTGAACAGTGGGCTTCAGGATCCATTTCCGAGCGCGACTGTGCCGGGATGAGTCCGGGATGGACGCGCGTGCCACAGCATTACTTTACTTCGAGTTGTTCCCACCATGACATCTATACGTTTTGTTACTGGCAAATCTTCTGGCATTCTATCTGACATATCTTCTGGCATTTTATCTGGCATGTCTTCTGGCATTCTATCTGGCATATCTTCTGGCATTCTACCTGGAATATCTTCTGCAATATGTTCTGGCATATCTTCTGGCACTCTATCTGGCATATCTTCTGGCATATCTTCTGACATTCTATGTGGCATTCTATCTGGCAAATCTTCTGGCCAACATTCTGGCACTTTATCTGGCATACGTTCTGGCAATCTATCTGACATTCTATCTGGCATACCTTCTGGCATATCTTCTGGCATTTTATCTGGCATATCTTCTGGCATTCTACCTGGCCTATCTTCTGGCATTCTACCTGGCCTATCTTCTGGCATTCTACCTGGCATATCTTCTGGCATTCTACCTGGCATATCTTATGGCACTCTATCTGGCATATCTTCTGGCATATCTTCTGACATTCTATCTGGCATTCTATTGGGCAAATCTTCTGGCATATGTTCTGGCAAAAAATCTGGCACTTTACCTGGCATACGTTCTGGCATTCTATCTGACATTCTATCTGGCGTTCTATCTGGCATATCTTCTGGCATTCTATCTGGCCGTTGAGGTCCAGCGGTGCTCACTGAGCTCGGAGGGTCCCAGGAGGTCCAGCGGTGCCCAGTGCGCTCAGACCCTTGCAGTTGAGGTCCAGCAGTGCCCACTGCGTGCGGAAGTTGGCGAAGAGCTTGGCGAAGAGTTGGCAAGGCGGAAGTGAACAGTGGAGTGGATGCAAAGGTGGCGGAGGAGAAGCTGGAGGAGGAGGAGAAGAAGGAGGTGGAGGATGAGGAGCAGGAGGCGGAGGAGGAGAACAACTGTGATCAAATCTAACAACCCTCACCTGGCAGGTGGGGAAAAAACAAAGTTGTGACAAATGGCCCATTCAATAATTTTGGCTATTGAACATGGCCATTTATAGTGGATTTACCCATTAAAAATGGTGATGTTCCACTGCTATGTAAATTTGCCAGAGGGTAAGCCTCAAAGTGTTGGAAAGCCCCATGGCTGAGGGAAAGCACCAGGTATTCATCATCGATCCCCAGTATACCTTGACCTTAAGTTTGTGACAAAACTACCCAACATCCCAAAACTACTAGTCATACCAATATTTGTTCCGGTAAAGTGATACATCACTTCAAAAGATACTAAGATTAATTTATAATCTTGCAATCTACCAGATAATACCCCATAGGATCCATGTATGCTATATATGGTAACATTTACCATCAATATACCCCCTTTATTTTAGCATATATACCATACATGGATCCTATGGGTGCTATATAGCTCTTGTTAAGAAAAAACATCATACATTGACGACAGCACCATGAATTTCCCTAGAATTTCCACTGGATCCCCGATGATCCGCCCCGCCAGGACGGGCGAGACACTGCTTCGAGTGTTCGATGTCGTCGTCGGGACCCTGACCATGGCGATATGCCAAGATCCTGGGGATGGTGATTAGTTAATCGATTGGACCAGGTATCCCAAGAACTGTTGGATTCATAGAATGGTTTTGAATTTTGGAATAGGAATACCAGTCTCATAATGGATTGGAATAAGCTTATAATATCTTGTAATATGTTATAATCCTAAAATGTCGCGTTAATTTTAAGGAGTGGATTTTAATGGAGTTGACATTTCCTATCTTTTTGGAACTTGCACACAGCCTCCGGAATCTCACCAGTCATGTTCATGGACCATCATGACCTGTTTGGACACCATCTCCATATGGACTTGACATCTTTGCCAAAGGACCTTGAACAAGTTCTTTTGTCATACGGCACATGGTTGCAAATGGTTCTTTAAACTAGACTCCATCCTGGTCTCGACCCTGATTTTGCAAGAATTACCCTCTGGTTGTGTCAACATAGCTATTGAACATGGCCCATTTATAGTTGATTTTCTGTTTCAAAATGGTGATTTTCTATAGTTATGTTCGTTTACCAGAAGGTAGCTACTGTTGTTGTTTGGAAGTGGATTCTAGCCCTGCAATGGGATATGTATTGGGATGTTCTAGGCACACAACGCACGCTACCATGCTGGACCTTCGCGGCCGGCCGATGTCCCTCAGTACCCATGAATTTCACTGGTTGGTGGTGACTGGAACATGGCTTAGCCATGACTTTCCATATACCCTCTGGTAATTTAACGGTTTGCTATTGAAAATGACCATAGAAATAGTGGATTTTCCCATTAAGAATGGTGATTTTCCATAGTTAGGTTAGTTTACCAGAGGGTATTCCCATGACGGATCCGGCTGGTGCTGGTATATATGCTAACATAAAGGGGGTATATTGATGGGATCCATGTTACCATATATATACCATATACCATACATGGATCCTATGGGATTGGGAAGAATACTCCCAACTGACGAAGTGCATCATTTTTCAGAGGAGTAGGCTCGACCACCAACCAGTTCATCATTGCCAAACAATGGGGATGCTAACGGTTTGGGGTTTACCACATTACCTTAAGACTTGGGAGGCATTCCTCAAACATCCTTGAAGTTGTGGTGGCACATCCAGTCGCCATAAACTTGTCAAGAGATGATTTCTAAAATCCGTCTTAATCCCGTCCCCCTCACGTCAAGTAATCCTTTTAGAACAAATGCTTTAAGTATATATGTGATTTATTCATTTGGTACCCAAATAGCGCACATGTGTGGGCGTTATGTCATTATGCTTGGGGGACAGGACAGGCGTACAGGCTTTGTATTGGGTTTTCTGCATTAGTGTCATGTAACAAGCGAACTAACGGTGATATCAAACAATTTTTCAAAATATTTTTCAGGTTACCCTTAAATTACTGGAACCTCAATGAGCTGACTGACTGGGTACAAATTCGTTTCTGAATGTCAGCTCCAGTAAACATAGCTATGGAAATCCCCGGGTTTCGGGAATGATTGAATTCAATGGGCCATATTGATCCATATTGTTGATAGCTATGTGGCTAATTATATCTAATTATCATTACCTAATGTGGCTAGTTCATTGTTTATCAGCTTTATTTTTTGTGAAAAACCATATCGGCCATGGTCTGCCGAGACGAACTGACCATCCACAAGGTTCGGATTCCAACATAGAGATGGATGTGCTATGAGCGCTTGGTGTATATATTTCTCGGGTATAGGGTTAGATATATATATATATACATAGCGGTTGCCAATGATAGATGTACGGATGAGATAGACTTATATACAACTTTGTTTGGTAAATGATAAGGGTTCAATAAACCATAGCACGTTAATGGTTTATATAAACATCACATCCATATCATTTAACAAATAAAACAGATAATGGGACCTATCATGGGATTATATGTTTCATAAACCATTTATGGTTTGTTTGGTAAGTGATAAACAACATAAATCATTAAGAATCATCCCCATTTTATTATTTTTTCATAAACCATCATAAACATGATAAACCATTCATCATTGAATCATAAACCATTAATAAACATATTTTTGCATAAACCATAATACACCATAAATCACATGTCTTCTTGACCATGGCACATTTTTCTTCATGCCAGTCCACCTCGCTAAGGTCCAATACGGTCACGCGTGCTGCCGGCCGGTACTTAACATGTTGATTGGTGCAGGAAGGGCACCCAAACGATAGGCAATTGTGTCTATAATGTGTCTATAACTGTAGGCTAACTAACTGGGCTAACTAGGCTGACTAGGGTTTCAGGTGGTTAGATCGGCTTATGAAGCGTATAAATGGAAGGGGCAATCTTGTAAAATGTGGATTTACCCGGCATCGTGACATAAAGCTGAGAATCCACTTGTTGGACACGGACTGAACCATCAAAAATGGCGGTCCATGTGAAAAAGCTGAGAAAATATGGGACTGAAACATCAAGACACAACGGCTAAAGTGGATGGGAACTTGAGTAGGAATTACATTTCTTTGCCGTTCAATGGGGATATTCATGAGGTAAAATGACCTTTTTCTGCAGGGTATCTAAGATTGGCAGTTCAGGGCAAATTTTGCATGTTTATGAAGTGTATTTTGGGCCAGATGTTTTTCTGCCATATCGGTACAGGAAATGTTTTTCGGAGTATAGGACTCCTTGGAATAAAACAGATAGCGTGTATGGATCCTTTGAAATGAACATGGATGATGTATTTCCCTTTAAGAAAGGTCTACCCAAAGAGCCACAGAAATTGAACACCCCTTGAATGGACCTTTGGACAATATTATTCTACAATTAAAAAAAACACGTCACCCACCCAAAAAAGGGTGAAGGTCCATTTTATGTTATATATTATAATATTATTATATTGCATATATCATCACCCATCCCATTGTTTGGCAATTTTTGCACCATGATTGAAAACAAGCATATCAGTTGTTTTTCTATTATATAATCATTTTTTTCCAAGTCTTACACTGCTATCTTCCAAAATGCTTGGATTTGCTGAAGAGGATTTTTGTTTATGTTCCCAATGGGAAGAAAAACATTATGACTTGGGAATCGGTGAAGGTAATATGTGTTTTATTTTTGGGGGAATATGGATATCTCCAGATGGTTGTGGTCATTGTTTCTGAAAACTCCACATCGCCAGGAACGCTGATCAACTTGGACCAATTCCGAGTTGTTTCGCGGGCGCGGAATCCCATATAACCCATGAAAAATCACGAAAACTGCGTGCTTAAATGAGATCAACATTTGAAACAACCATGAAAAGCACGTCCCAAATGGTTATGGGTCAAAACCCTGGTGCCTTTGGTCCCCTAAGTTGGCTCTTTAATGGATGGCTATTCCCCCCAAATATGGCTAGCCGCTAGCTTTTGACTCCTATGTAAAGTCCGACCAAATCCCATCAACTTCCAATAAAACTTCAAGAACTCCCACAGAAACTCTCAAACATCCCATAAACAATCCCACAAAAATCCGATAAACATGATAAACACCCCAATCCCAGTCCCAAGTCCCAAGAAACAGTAAACATCCCATGAAAGTGCCACGGCACATTTTAAAGAACGCGAACATTCCAGACAACATTCATAAAATCGCATAAGACCTTCACAAAATCCCATAAAACCTTCAAGACATCCTATAAACCTTCACACAATCCCATAATCTCTCAAAATATCCAATAAAACCTTCATATAATGCCATTGTAAAATGCAATCCAAAAAAAAACAATGATTTTCCCGTTGAACTATGAACTTCCCGAAACTTGATGCGCCGCGTTTAGGACCTCACAAAGGGCACCTTTACTGGCGGAGCCTTCACTGCTGTGCCTTGGTGGTGTTTCACCAAAGCCTGAGTTTCTTTGCAACTACCCTCTGGTTTAATGGTGTTTAATGGTGATTTAATGGTGATTTAATGGTGATTTAATGGGTTTTAATGGGATTTAATGGTGATTTAATCGATATACCCTCTGGTTATGTCATAGCATAGCTATTGAAAATGGCCATAGAAATAGTGAGTTTTCCCATGAAAAATGGTGATGTTCCATAGTTATGGAAACGTTTACCAGAGGGTATCTATGCCCTCAGTGTACGAAAATATGAATTGGTATGTTGTTCCCCCATGACAAAGGGAAACCTCCATTTGGGTGGGGCATTGTAGGCCATTTTCAGTTAGATACTTTGCGCATCTGAGTTTGACTACTAAGAATCATATTGCAGAACTATGATATTGGGGATTTAGGTGCCCATAGGGATTATGACATTATGACCATGCCATGGACCATGTCAGATATTCTCTTGATTATTTACAACTACCCTCTGGTAAACGTTTACATAACTATGGAAAATCACCATTTTTAATGGGTAAATCAACTATTAATGGGCCATTTTCAATAGCTATGTGAGTTTACCAGAGGGTATGTGCCATGGTCATTTTTTTGAAAACGGTTTGCATCCGATTTTCGGAGATAGTCATCCTTCGGAGATAGCCTTTTCAATAGAACATACCTGGAACATCCTGATGACCACTGTTATCAAGGGAAAGTGACCCATAAAATTGAGGCTTAATCAAAAGTGTTCATTTGGGTGCCAGGTATATATATATATATATCTGGCTGGTGGTTTCAAACATGAATTTCATGTTCCATCATATATGGGGTAAACCTTCCCATTGACTTTCATATTTTTCAGGATGGTTATTGCACCACCAACCGTATATATAGAATGGGCTAGCGCCCGGGTGCCGCCGACCCCCCTTCTGGGGGGTTGGGCTGAAGGTGGTTGGTCTATATCTAACCCAGTCACGTCCCAGATTTTCGCGTGAAACTTGGTTCCGTTCGACTCAGCTGGCTCCAAGTTGAGCGTTCCTTGCCAATTGATCGTCCTGTGTACAGTATAGCTGTAAGAGTTGTTGCCTTGGAGGCCTGCGGAAGGTTTTGGAGGGTTTGAGGCCGGGCAAACGGCAGTCTTGAACTCTTGAACCCCCTGAAAAACAGATGGCAGGGCCATCTAGCTGTAAGAGTTGTTGCCTTGTAGGCCTGCGGAAGGGTTTGGAGGGTTTGAGGCCGGGCAAACGGCAGTCTTGAACTCTTGAACCCCCTGAAAAACACATGGCAGGGGCATGTAGCTGTAAGAGTTGTTGCCTCTTGGAGGCCTGCGGAAGGGTTTGGAGGGTTTGAGGCCGGGCAAACGGCAGTCTTGAACCCGCTGAAAAACAGATGGCAGGGGCATGTAGCTGTAAGAGTTGTTGCCTTGGAGGCCTGCGGAAGGGTTTGGAGGGTTTGAGGCCGGGCAAACGGCAGTCTTGAACCCGCTGAAAAACAGATGGCAGGGGCATGTAGCTGTAAGAGTTGTTGCCTTGGAGGCCTGCGGAAGGGTTTGGAGGGTTTGAGGCCGGGCAAACGGCAGTCTTGAACCCGCTGAAAAACAGATGGCAGGGGCATGTAGCTGTAAGAGTTGTTGCCTTGGAGGCCTGCGGAAGCGTTTGGAGCGATTGAGGCCGGGCAGACGGCAGTCTTGAACCCCCTGAAAAACAGATGGCAGGGGCATGTAGCTGTAAGAGTTGTTGCCTTGGAGGCCTGCGGAAGGGTTTGGAGGGTTTGAGGCCGGGCAAACGGCAGTCTTGAACTCTTGAACCCCCTGAAAAACAGATGGCAGGGGCATCTAGCTGTAAGAGTTGTTGCCTTGGAGGCCTGCGGAAGGGTTTGGAGCGTTTGAGGCCGGGCAAACGGCAGTGCCTGCAGAGGTTTGGAGCGTTTGAGGCCGGGCAAACGGAAGTCTTGAACCCCCTGAAAAACAGATGGGTTTGAGGCCGGGCAAACGGCAGTCTTGGACCCCTTGAAAAACAGACGGCAGGGGCATGTAGCTGTAAGAGTTGTTGCCTTGGAGGCCTGCGCCAGGGCCATGTAGCTGTAAGAGTTGTTGCCTTGGAGGCCTGCGGAAGGGTTTGGAGGGTTTGAGGCCGGGCAAACGGCAGTCTTGAACTCTTGAACCCCTGAAAAACAGATGGCAGGGGCATCTAGCTGTAAGAGTTGTTGCCTTGGAGGCCTGCGGAAGGGTTTGGAGGGTTTGAGGCCGGTCAAACGGCAGTCTTGAACCCGCTGAAAAACAGATGGCAGGGGCATGTAGCTGTAAGAGTTATTGCCTCGGAGGCCTGCGGAAGGGTTTGGAGGGTTTGAGGCCGGGCAAACGGCAGTCTTGAACTCTTGAACCCCCTGAAAAACAGATGGCAGGGGCATCTAGCTGTAAGAGTTGTTGCCTTGGAGGCCTGCGGAAGGGTTTGGAGCGTTTGAGGCCGGGCAAACGGCAGTCTTGAACCCCCTGAAAAACAGATGGGTTTGAGGCCGGGCAAACGGCAGTCTTGAAGCCCTTGAAAAACAGACGGCAGGGGCATGTAGCTGTAAGAGTTGTTGCCTTGGCGGCCTGCGGAAGGGCCATGTAGCTGTAAGAGTTGTTGCCTTGGAGGCCTGCGGAAGGGTTTGGAGGGTTTGAGGCCGGGCAAACGGCAGTCTTGAACCCGCTGAAAAACAGATGGCAGGGGCATGTAGCTGTAAGAGTTGTTGCCTTGGAGGCCTGCGGAAGCGTTTGGGGGGTTTGAGGGCGGGCAAACGGCAGTCTTGAACCCCCTGAAAAACAGATGGCAGGGGCATGTAGCTGTAAGAGTTGTTGCCTTGGAGGCCTGCGGAAGGGTTTGGAGGGTTTGAGGCCGGGCAAACAGCAGTCTTGAACCCCCTGAAAAACAGATGGCAGGGGCATGTAGCTGTAAGAGTTGTTGCCTTGGAGGCCTGCGGAAGGGTTTGGAGCGTTTGAGGCCGGGCAAACGGCAGTGCCTGCGGAGGTTTGGAGCGTTTGAGGCCGGGCAAACGGCAGTCTTGAACCCCCTGAAAAACAGATGGGTTTGAGGCCGGGCAAACGGCAGTCTTGAACCCCTTGAAAAACAGACGGCAGGGGCATGTAGCTGTAAGACGAGTTGTTGCCTTGGAGGCCTGCGGAAGGGCCATGTAGCTGTAAGAGTTGTTGCCTTGGAGGCCTGCGGAAGGGTTTGGAGGGTTTGAGGCCGGGCAAACGGCAGTCTTGAACCCCCTGAAAAACAGATGGCAGGGGCATGTAGCTGTAAGAGTTGTTGCCTTGGAGGCCTGCGGAAGGTTTGGAGCGTTTGAGGCCGGGCAGACGGCAGTCTTGAACCCCCTGAAAAACAGATGGCAGAGGCATGTGGCTGGAATAGTTGTTGCCTTGGAGGCCTGCGGAAGGGTTTGGAGGGTTTGAGGCCGGGCAAACGGCAGTCTTGAACTCTTGAATCCCCTGAAAAACAGATGGCAGGGGCATCTAGCTGTAAGAGTTGTTGCCTTGGAGGCCTGCGGAAGGGTTTGGAGCGTTTGAGGCCGGGCAAACGGCAGTCTTGAACCTCCTGAAAAACAGATGGGTTTGAGGCCGGGCAAACGGCAGTCTTGAACCCCTTGAAAAACAGACGGCAGGGGCATGTAGCTGTAAGAGTTGTTGCCTCTTGGAGGCCTGCGGAAGGGCCATGTAGCTGTAAGAGTTGTTGCCTTGGAGGCCTGCGGAAGGGTTTGGAGGGTTTGAGGCCGGGCAAACGGCAGTCTTGAACCCCCTGAAAAACAGATGGCAGGGGCATCTAGCTGTAAGAGTTGTTGCCTTGGAGGCCTGCGGAAGGGTTGGGAGGGTTTGAGGCCGGGCAAACGGCAGTCTTGAACCCCTTGAAAAAGCAGATGGCAGGGGCATGTAGCTGTAAGAGTTGTTGCCTTGTAGGCTTGCGGAAGCGTTTGGAGGGTTTGAGGCCGGGCAAACGGCAGTCTTGAACCCCCTGAAAAACAGACGGCAGGGGCATCTAGCTGTAAGAGTTGTTGCCTTGTAGGCTTGCGGAAGGGTTTGGAGGGTTTGAGGCCGGGCAAACGGCAGTCTTGAACTCTTGAACCCCCTGAAAAACAGATGTCAGGGGCATGTAGCTGTAAGAGTTGTTGCCTTGGAGGCCTGCGGAAGGGTTTGGAGGGTTTGAGGCCGGGCAAACGGCAGTCTTGAACCCCCTGAAAAAGCAGATGGCAGGGGCATGTAGCTGTAAGAGTTGTTGCCTTGGAGGCCTGTGGAAGCGTTTGGAGGGTTTGAGGCCGGGAAAACGGCAGTCTTGAACCCGCTGAAAAACAGATGGCAGGGGCATGTAGCTGTAAGAGTTGTTGCCTCTTGGAGGCCTGCGGAAGGGTTTGGAGGGTTTGAGGCCGGGCAAACGGCAGTCTTGAACCCCTTGAAAAAGCAGATGGCAGGGGCATGTAGCTGTAAGAGTTGTTGCCTTGGAGGCCTGCGGAAGGTTTGGAGGGTTTGAGGCCGGGCAGACGGCAGTCTTGAACCCGCTGAAAAACAGATGGCAGGGGAATGTAGCTGTAAGAGTTGTTGCCTTGGAGGCCTGCGGAAGCGTTTGGAGGGTTTGAGGCCGGGCAAACGGCAGTCTTGAACCCCCTGAAAAACAGATGGCAGGGGCATGTAGCTGTAAGAGTTGTTGCCTTGGAGGCCTGCGGAAGCGTTTGGAGGGTTTGAGGCCGGGCAAACGGCAGTCTTGAACCCCCTGAAAAAGCAGATGGCAGGGGCATGTAGCTGTAAGAGTTGTTGCCTTGGAGGCCTGCGGAAGCGTTTGGAGGGTTTGAGGCCGGGCAAACGGCAGTGGCAGTCTTGAACCCGCTGAAAAACAGATGGCAGGGGAATGTAGCTGTAAGAGTTGTTGCCTTGGAGGCCTGCGGAAGCGTTTGGAGGGTTTGAGGCCGGGCAAACGGCAGTCTTGAACCCGCTGAAAAACAGATGGCAGGGGCACGTAGCTGTAAGAGTTGTTGCCTTGGAGGCCTGCCGAAGCGTTTGGAGGGTTTGAGGCTGGGCAAACGGCAGTCTTGAACCCCCTGAAAAACAGATGGCAGGGGCATGTAGCTGTAAGAGTTGTTGCCTTGGAGGCCTGCGGAAGGGTTTGGAGGGTTTGAGGCCGGGCAAACGGCAGCCTTGAACCCGCTGAAAAACAGATGGCAGGGGCATGTAGCTGTAAGAGTTGTTGCCTTGGAGGCCTGCGGAAGCGTTTGGAGGGTTTGAGGCCGGGCAAACGCAGTCTTGAACCCCCTGAAAAACAGATGGCAGGGGCATGTAGCTGTAAGAGTTGTTGCCTTGGAGGCCTGCGGAAGCGTTTGGAGGGTTTGAGGCCGGGCAAACGGCAGTCTTGAACCCGCTGAAAAACAGATGGCAGGGGCATGTATAGCTGTAAGAGTTGTTGCCTTGGAGGCCTGCGGAAGGTTTGGAGCGTTTGAGGCCGGGCAGACGGCAGTCTTGAACCCCCTGAAAAACAGATGGCAGGGGCATGTAGCTGTAAGAGTTGTTGCCTTGGAGGCTTGAAAAACGGATGGCAGGGGCATGTAGATGGCCGGGGCATGTAGATGGCTGGGGCATGTAGCTGACAGAGTTGTTGCCTTGGAAAGGCGCGTGCCTTTGCTTGCGACCAGAGAGCCAAGTTCCACACCTCCGGTGGTCCCAGGCGCCGCCCCTGCCTTGGCAAAAGCCGGGGTCGGCGGATATACACAGTGTATATCCATTATGGTTGGATTCTCATTGATCCCATGAAACTGTGCTAATTATGGACCATTGGTGTGTGTATATATATATATATCGAACTTACATGATCAGAAATTTTTAGGGATATTATATACACACATATATTGGTTACCAATGATAATTATTCGAATGATATATATATATATATATGTAATATTATACATATACATATATTGATGTGAAAATTTGTTTGATAGATGATCGGGATTTGTAAGATGTGCTAAACAAATTATTTTCCTGGCAAACGTACGAACCACCTCTCCAAAGCATGGGCAAAATATCGAAGAATCCCAAGCTTCAAAAAGACAAAATCATCAGGGTCCGGAAGACAACAACAGGGTGTGACTGATACAACCAAACTGCCAACCTGTAGATCCATGGGTTGCGGGAAGGTGAGAAAAGGTCTTCTCTGTTTGATGTAGTCTTGTTTGCTTGTCCTCAAGGTTTGGAATTTGATGCGTAATTCTAGTCCCCTATATAGTATACGGTATAGATCAGCAGCATCTTGTACGGACTCACTATATGCTGAGAGCCCCTTTCTTGATCCCTACTCCCATGTTTGAAACCCGATATATTTGTATGGGGTCCGTGTGGAAGGCATGCATCAATCGGTGTTCTACTATCAATGGTCCATTCATGTAGATAGAATGGAGTTACCATGTCATGTAAACCATAGATTGAAATTTAGGCCTTACATATCTTACATTGCCTTCAAATATGCTAAGTACCTCTGATTTGGGTACCTGAATTTTCCTTCATCAAATGGGTCTGGTTGAAAATACAGAGGTCCCAAATTCCAATTACCAGTTGTTTTTCCCAAAATTACCATTCAATTTATTGGGGTATACCGAATCTTGAACACATCCGTGCATATTGATATTGGTGTATATCAGTGTCATATCCTATGATACTGTCTGGCAATTTAACGTCGCTATTGAACATTGCCCATTTAATTGATGACTTATAAAACATGTTGATTTTCCATGCAATGTTAAATTCCCAGATGGTAATTCCCATTAAAACCCATTAAAGTCCCGGTAAAATCATAGTTAAATCCCAGGAAAACCCCAGTAAAATAGTAAAATCCCAGGAAATTCCCATGACATCCCAGTAAAATCCGAGTAACATCCTAGTAAAATCCCATGAAATCACCATATCTTGATGGTTTTTCATCTCTCCATCACCCTGTTGAACCCTCCTGAGGTGGCCTATGCCCTACTTCTGCTTTTGCTCATAGCAGAGCTGCGAGCCTTCCTCAGGAGAGGTGAAGCTTGTGAGCAGCTAGCCGTGGCTGCGATCTACCGGCAGGGTTGATAGGGGATGAAATACTACCTTTGATTCATATGGGTATGGATCAATACCTATTAATACCATTTTTAGATATTTTTAGGAGGATTAACATCCATAAATCCCAGCTATTTTGATGTTCACCAACCAGGGGTACAAGGTTTTGACACACTGCCAGATGGCAAGATGATCATAATCATCATAATCCACGAACAATCCCTATATATAAACTCTTTGAAGCAACCAGGGTTCAACGGAATGACATAGGCATTAGCATGGCATTGAAAGCATTGAAACCATATGAAATCATCAAGATGTACTGCGGAAAAAAGCATTAACAAAAGCACAAACATGCATTTGTACTGTAAAAAAAGGAACATCAATCAAGACAACAAAACATTGATGTGATGTTTCTGATATCAGACCTGTGATGTGTTTTTGAGAAGGGCTACTCAATTGCAGAATGAAAGTGCGGCGCAGGAAACTGAGATTCGTTGGCAGTTTCGATGTTTTTTTTAAACGCCGGAAGCGTGCGGAAGCGTGATACATCATGATACATCCCTGCAGGAAGAACTACCAGACCAACATCATCATGGATCAGAATAATGACTCTTGACTGCATCGACGTTTTCAAAATCTTCGGCGAATTTCAGCGAAATTCGCCGGTGAATTGTGTGTGTGAATTGCACCTTGACAGTACCCCCATCATGCCGTAGGTACACGTATCGGGTTTATTACGGTCATGAGTCTGGGTAAATGAGCGGAATTTTGCCCACAGGGATGTTTATAGATCTGATAAGAAAACATAGTGAGGTCAGATCACTTTCCAGAAAAAAAATGGTGATCTCGAGATGCAACATTTTGACGCCTGGAAATAAAGGGGGACAGATCCTCCATGTCACATCCTTGATCTTGTTGTCGATCGTTTTGGTGATCTATAATCCATCTAAGATCATCCAGTTTTGCTGAAGTTGAACAAATTTGAACCTGCCATATTGTATACATATATATATGGTATACGTATTATCTTGTACAACGACTGTGTCTGAAGAGAACTTTCATCCTCCATCACGGCCAAAAGAGGTCAACGACAGCTTCAGGTTCAATGGCTGCCACTGGTTTTTGGAGGTTTCCGAAAAAAGGGCTAGCCCCAAATCATCCATTCTCGTAGGATTTTCCCGTATAAACATGTATAAACCATCTATTTTAGGGATCGCCCATTGATGGAAACCATTTTTTGGCTCAGGATGAGTTGATCCAAATCAATTTTGACATCCTGATGTACGACTTGCCGTTTGCCTGGCCGCACTTGACAGCTGGTTGCCAGATGGCAAGTCTGATATGATATGGATATATTGATATATGATGATATTATATATACATAAAAAATAACATAACATAACATAACACAACATATTATACTAGATTAGATCTAATGATTAGATAATATATTCATATCGCTGGTATTTCGGCTATTTCGTTGCTTGGACTTGTTGCATCACGTGGACTCTGCTGAGCTAGCTCTGCGGGCACGCCGGCACGTATCGTGTATAGTCAGCCTGGAGATAGAACATGGAAATGACAAAAACACATCACTAAGATGGGACTATCTATGAATCTGTGAATATCTTTGAAACATCCATATTATACCTACTTCAGGATGATTATATGATACATGTATATACCGAAGCGAATACTAGCAACGCAGCCAGGTGCAAGTACTTGAAGATCGGCGTTTGGGATCGATTTGGAGAAGAAAAAATCAACAGCACTGATCAGCTGGGGCCCCAGGGGGCCCCAGCGCCGAAGGGAGAGGATTTGCAGTGTGTAGATGTCTGGGGGGTTCAAATATGCCTCGTTTGTTGAGTTATATAATAATAATGGGATGATAATATCCACAGATTGAATGGAAGGAATCATGTAATATCCTATAATGGATATTATTATATTATTATATTTTCTGGATATTACTTGGGATGATAGCCAGATGTGCCATCCTTTTCCGGTCCCAATCTGGGAGGCTTTCGCATAAACATGATAAATTTTTGGACCCCAAAACAGAAACAATCCATTTTCCCAGCCTTCTGATCATCAGATTCTTGAAAGGATTTTCCCAATCCGTGATGAACCCAAGTGATCATCCTCAGCCCCACGAATTCGACGGCAGGTTTCATTACATCCCTGTGGATCACAAGGGCCAGTACAAGGGCATGGCCCGGTGCTCAGCAGAGGTGGCAACAATACAAGCGTAAGGTACAGAATGCCACTGAACCATGTTTTTTTAGTGATGTCTCAACATGTTAATGATATTCCATTATCTCCAATTTCGTGTGGTTGATATGGTGCCTATATGCAATATATATATATATATATATTAGATGTGTGTTCATATGACAAATCACGATAGAGTATCCATTGTATCCGTTGTGTCATATTAATTATATATATATACCTTATGTTATAATTATTGTTCATTTTCCTGACAGTTTATTTATTATTGTATGTGATGACTATTCTATTGTAGATATACACATTGTGTAACATCAGTGATTCTATGTGAAACTATTTACATTCAACATAGTTATTTGTTCAATGTATGTACTGTAGTAGACATGACCAGCACTATGATCCCAACATGTGCCCTCAACCCACGGCGGGAAAGTTTTAGGCCTACAGCAAAGAGGAGATTGCCCTCTTGGAACAGGCGGCGGCATGAGACAAACTGTTGGGCAAATGGTATATGGTACCCTCTGGTCAACAGTTTGCTATCAGGGGCAACGGCCCATTTATAGATGGTGGTTTCCTGAAATAGGGGTACCTCCAAATCATCCATATAAATGGGATGTACATTATAAACCAACCATTTTTGGATACCCCCATTTATGGAAATCCCCAGGTGATAAACCTGATGATTTCCCGATGAAAATGGTCGATTTGGGAGATGACATACAAAATCCACGATACAGAACCGTTGGATGCCCCGACGCTCTGTCAAATACTGTTGGGTCATGCTTGGATTTCTATGATCTTAACCTGAAGTACGTTGTAAACGCGAGAATGAAACAGTA